TTTTCAGGCCGATGAGCTTTGTAAAAATCGACGCGTTTCAGAAAGGTGGAGCATAGAGGAGAAACAATAATGTACAGTATGTGGAAAATAATGTGTTTTTTGAACCTTAAACCGCATAAACACATTTCATTACACCAAATACACAAAATAATGTTATTTTTAGCAACATCATATGACCCCTTTAATTCAATTACCAAATTTGAATTAAGGCAGCAAAAAAATGCAGAATTGCAATTGCAATGTGAAGTAAGCAGAATCAACACAAACTAAAAATCCATGTTAGTCATTTTCAACTAGAAAAAAAAAAGGTTTGTCAAGACAAACTTTGTAAGATTGCTTGACAAAGTCTTGTCTGTAAGGCTAAAGAAGCTTAAAACATTTAATTATTTTGAAGGTTTTATAGGCCTTACAGAAAAAATTGATTTACTGCGAATCTATTGCAATTGTATGTTTCAACCACAGATGGTGATAGAAAGACCAAAATTCCACAGGGAACCTTTAATAAACGATGGCTACATCCGAAATCTCATACTTCTCTACTATATAGCAGGCGAAAACTAAATGTGAACAGAGCAGTATGTTCAGATTCACAGTATTCATAAAACAATAGGCGGTGAGATTAAAACAATTCCGGTGTGATTCTGAAGTGCATATCTGATGACACTTTTTTATTATCCCATGAGGCCATGGGAGAGGATTTGTAAATGGCGGTAAAGCAACGCATCTGATGCTGACAGGTCACATGACAATGACAACATGACAAATGTAAGTCTGGACTTCTTCATTCATACTACATGCATCCATACAATATAGAACATACTTTTTTAATGGTTGCAAAGTAATTACTTATTCAAAAGAAGTACCTGCTCAGAGAGTGTGTGATTTCGGACACAACTAATGTTTCCAAATGGGTGAGTTGTTTACTCTGTAATTTGCGTGTCTACTTATAACAGTTTGACTTGTTTAGGCTGATTTGTGTACTAATTACTAGCACAGGGTATTATTGCATTAACTCTTTCCCCGCCAGCATTTTTAAAAAAAGTTGCCAGCCACCGCCAGCGATTTTGATGATTTTCACTAAAATTTGATGGCCTCCAGTATATTTTGCTGTATGAATATTTGAATATGTAATACACCTAAATAAAGATCAGAGCCTCTACTTTTAAACAAAAAAATCAGTTTTATTCTAGCTTAAAGCATTCTTTTTTTATCAACACTTCAATATAGGTAGGTTTCGTAAAAAAAAATATAATGTTAAGCAAAAAGGTGAGAATATCACATTTTTATCAAAAACTACATCTGGATAATATTCAGTACGATTATCAAAGCATAAATCCAGTAAATCGCTTCCATCAACACCTCCAAAGCTTGCACAGACATATACTACTTCCTGTATCAACATTTTACTCCGTAACATTATGCAGTTTTCATTTATATGCTGTCTATTGCTGATGATCGCATTATTTTTCATATGCATCTGTTTACATAAGAGATCACTAGTTTCTCAGTCCTGTTCACATGTGTTTTTTGTTCGGGAGGTTTTGTACTCGTTCAGAAGATGCTTAATAGCGCCCCTGAGTGTATAACAGTGAAAACACGAAAAGCCATAAAAACTCTTCTTTGGCGGGGAAGCGTTTTCTTCTAAAAGACGAGATAACTCGTCAATGGCGGGGAAAGAGTTAACAGAATGAGAGAATAACCAGCCAATCAGAGTGAAGTGGAGTTAGGGTTAGAAAAAAGAAAAAAAAGAAGAAAAAAAATTGTGTGCATGTCTGGCCACATCTGGATGTGGTAACTAAACATAATTTTCCTCAGTTTCCATTTATCAAGTCACAACGCTATCACTCATTCCCTTTTATAAGCTGCATATTAACAAAAGTCTTTGCTAAATCGGGGGACACATATGGTGGGTTGGATGTCTTAAAAGAAACGGCCTAGATTTCATCTCACAACGCTCACGTGAGGTGTATATTGGTTTTCTGCTCTACACCAATACACAGTATGGTTTTTATTGCACCAATATCCTGGCTCGTGAAATGCATAATCCTGCAAGGATTCCGCCATGATCCCGAGTCCAAAGTTCACGCAGGGTTTTTAATCAAGTTCCCAGCCTCCTCTCTCTTGGTGGGAGAATTCAGAGCAAATCTGATTTCTTCTTCCCTCAGTAACTCGACCGATTTGTTGTCCAGAAGCCTTGATCGCTGGTCAGAGTCCATATTGTGCTTGGAACTGCTCCGTAATTCTCCACGAAATCTCACTCTAGTCAGACCGAAACAATTTTTTAGCCTCTCTTCTACCACTGATTGCTCACCACGAAGAAGGAAATTGCGCAGCAACTCGGGTCCTGATTACCTCTTAGCACACCGTTGTGTCAAGTCAAGTCCAGCCTTGTTAAAATTAATCTCGGCCTCTGTCCAACAGCACTAATAACAGCTCTCACACCACCTATGGTTCAGCCAATAAGCAAGACTGCAAGACTTCAAATTAGTAAACTGGCATTTTAATGCAAAGCCACGGGGAAAAAATTAATAGCGTAAAGGACCATACCTAATAGTTCTTTTGATCAAAAGGTATTCACAGGGAATTTTTCTTTAATTAATTTCTACAATGGTAGCAAATTGCTTGGGGAGCACTGCACAATTTGAATCCATCAAATTGTAAGGCGCTGCACCTAGCATTTATTTGCCTTTTCTCTTTTTCCCTGTGAAGGCTTCATTGATCGATAGAATAAAGAGCAAACAATAGAACGAAAATGTTCTCGGCTCACTTTTGCAGAGCACTTTTACACAGCTGTCCCTTGACTTATTATCTTTAGGCTAGGCTTCAAAATAAACCTGATACATTATCTCTGACAAAAAAAGCCCAACAAGTTCAGATTCTCCATTGTTAACATGTCTGTCTGTGGTTTAGAAGTATTCTCAGTAGATCTGTCCCAGTACTGTACTCTATGTTGTGTGTGACTGACTCGGCCCAGATCAGTAGAGAGCATGTACAGGGTTGTAATGCATGCTACCTTTAGAACAGCACTTGTCCTGGGACCCCTCCGGGGTTAGCGATGCTCTGCCGTTGTGCATTTTAATAAAGGTCAGCTAGCTTATAAACCCCATTCATTAGCCATTTTCTGCCATTAATTCAACAAGCTCAACTACAATGTGAGTGTTTGTCACCTCTGCTGAGATTTCTGAGACACTGCCTGGCTGCTTTGCTCCCAAATTGATATGTTGTAATGTTGCTGCAATCATTCACAGCATGAACAGTTTTAGAGGAGCTACGCTAAAGCTGCCCATGCTGTAATGTTCAGTTTTAAGATGGCTACTAGAAATATAATGGCCTCAATTTTATTTGGACACTTAAGCAAAATCCACAAAGTGCATGTAAATATATGTTTTATAATGCAAATGCATTTATATTTACATTACAAAATAAAATATTCAAGAAAGCAGCGTTTATTTTTAATAACATTATTCAAAAGATAGGAGTTTCCACACTTTCTGACCTTTCTAGTTAATCGTGACTGAAGAATTTTTAAAAATCATTTTAAAAGGTTCAAATTTCAAGAAAATTATTCACAAAACAGAAATTATGTGGAACAACTTGCAAAACAACTTAAAGGTTGCGGTTAAAAATAAATAAATAAATAATAATAATAATAATAATAATAATACATTTATAGGCGATCACACTTATAATTAATACTTTCTCCCCTAAAAAAAATTTATATCAATAAATATAAAGGTCATTAATTATAAAATATATTAAATTTATATTATATTAACTTAATTTCCATGTTTATGAGAACCCTTAAATTATTTAAAAAATAATAAAAATAAAAATAGATAATGTTCAAAAGTAATTGGACGGAGACTACAGCTAGTGTTGTTATAGTAAAACACTGACAATTTTCACAAAGCAAAGCAGTCAGTATATTTTGTTCTCAAAATAGAGTTGTCCATCAAAGCTAGCCTAACTCTCTCAGTAAATTACCCCTGACTCTGGGTCAAAACCATCCCAAACTTTTGTCAGACTGTTGAAAGGTGAAGTCCATTTATCTGTGATTTAAGAATGGAACAAAGTATGAGAAGAAACACACCATAGACAATCACAGTAGCCGAGGAGCTCTTTCGTCGAGCCACAATGTTCTTGGCCACGCAGGTGTAGTTGCCTGTGTCGGCCAGGCGGGCTTGTTTGATGATGAGATTATGGTCCACGGTGATGAAGAAATTGGGGTCAGTCTTGGGGTCGATCAGCTCCTCGTTTCTCTGCCACTCCACCTAGAGATATACACAAGAGAAAATATTTCACAGCTTCAGTCTGGCTCAAACTGATGGAAAGTTCTGTATGACACTGTATCCAGCGGCCATTCTGGGCAGCTACCAAAGACCCTGCCTGGGCTGAAGAAGCACTGCATGGCAGCATGGAGCAGTAGGAAAGTGGATTAGCATTTTTCTATCTTTCTTTTATTTTTTTATTATTTATTATTTTTATTATTATTTAATTAATCTATCTATTTATGTAGGAAATCAGAACATTTCTTTAGCACCTTGAAATTAGAAATAGAACTAAAAGTAGGAATTGGGACTATGATAATACTTTGGTAATAAAAGAATAAATATTTTTTATTTCATTTTTATGTATTGTGGTATAATGTTCATCATCCCATAAAATATATCTATATATAATCATGTAGTTCCACTTTTCTGCTTTTAATCTTAAAATGCATTGTAAGAATTAGCTTTAATTGTAACTATGATTTATAATATGATTAATATAATAATAATGATAATAATAATGAACTGATTAATTAGTCAAAATTATTTCCTACAGTAATTATAATTACGCCACAAATGCTGAAATTGTATGAAACCAGGAATGTTCTTTTAAAACTGAAAAAAAAAAGACAATGAATGAAGTCAAACTTATCAGTCACTTTGGTAGTGAAAATGGAGTTGAATATTTAATATGAAAATAAAGCACCGATACGTCGCTGCTGTTAGGTTTGGAGTTTGGATGGCCATTTTGAGCGGCAACAGCTGGTCGCAGGCTGGTCAAGTCCTGCACCAGTGCAAAAATACATGTATTATTGATGGGACTCCCAGAGCTGCCAAATCACACTGTGTAGTTCCTCATCCAAGTCCAGCTCATAGAACAGACGGAATATGGTGAAACACGTCAGATCTCTGGCTCGATGGTATATTTGTGCGAGTGCATTAATGAGAGGGATAATTAGCAGAGCTGCTGGGTGTTAACATGTTTAATTGTTGCTCTCACCTCTGCAGGAGGAACACCTTCAGGAGGATGACAGCGCAGAAGGACTTCCTGATCCAGTGCCACTTCCTTACCCAGTGGTTCCTCCTCAAAGTTCTTCCTCAGATCTGTACAGCAAAATCATTTTATTTATTAGTTACTAGGTGCATTTGGAACATATATGTTCAAACTTATAAGCACAACCGTAACTAAAACATATAAGCTTCCCCATGTGCATAATAAAATAAAGGTAATGGTTGGGTATGCCATGCTATTTGCAAAAAAAAAAAAAGCACAGACCTTGTAGTGCACAGTATATTTAATATTAAATATTTGTCATAATTAGTGTAACATTAATTTGGTTAGTATTCTCAGAGGAGTGGCATGGTGAGCATGTGTTCTGACATGTTGTGCAGTGGTGCTTATGTGCATGATATGATGCATTATGCACAACTGCAATTCACAACTGTAATTGTGAAAACAATACTATTTATTCAATTATAAAGTACGAACATGGTTAAATATGACTAGCTGTTGAATGAGCAATATTCAGTTTGTTAAAACTATATGAGATTGAAACAAATAGATGATAAATACATGAACCTGGTTATTGTGCATTAATAATACTTTTACAGAAATCTTTTGTTTCATTTATGTATTACTGACAAATTTGCATCAGGATTAGTAGTTTATGTTAAAACTGTGTAATCCAAATGGACATTAATTTCTTAAAATAAGTCTTAAATTCAGGCCTTTGTGTGTGTGTATAGATTTTTTATAGACATATTTTGACTTTACCACCTTTAGTTTTAAAATTACTGTCAGTGTGAAGAGGGCATTAAACAAAAGTCTAGGGGAAACAATTGAGATTTTAAAAGGATTGGAAGTTTTTTTTTTCTTTCCTATGGGCTCTCAAGCCAGGCTATTGACTAAAATTCTCCTGTAGTTATAACGTGGATCAGAACGTGTACATGTATCACCAGGAATGTAAACTGCCAAGCCATTTAATCTAATGTTATCTGTGTCACATTAAGCAATGTGTTTTTTGGGTTCAGAGCTCCTCCATAAATAACTCAGGGCTTTGTTTGCACCGTGTACGTTCTCTCTTAGAAGGATCCATATCACAGACCCGAGTGCTTGTTAGACCCTGCTTGGTTGCTTCAGAGAATGGTTGTCTGCAGCCCCCAGGCAAAGCATCAACAAAAAGGAGTCGCATTATCTTCCTCCACTACTCGATACCACACCATGGCTGTGGTATCCACACGACCACCCACTCTACCTAAAACCCCTGGGACAAACGTTGATGCGAGTCGAATTGTATTTGCTCGTCAAAATTGCATTACACTTGATGGAGGGTTTTCGATGGCACAATTTCAAAACAATATTTGCATAAATGTTTATAGCTGTTATGACACGAAAATGCTTTGGAAGAAGGTGTCCATTGAGACAAGGGGCTTGTCTTCGGTTCAGATGCTGGGGAATAAAATCTCTTTCAATAACGATGGCACTGCCAGTCATTTCGTTTCCTCAAAACAGATGTCATGCCTGTCTTCACCAATCAGGCCTCGGCAAACATTAAGAGGTGAAGAGGGGCCTTTGACATTCAATTTAATTAAATAGGATTTGATGGGAATAGGAGAGGCACAAAGGATTAGATGGCCATCGAGTCCTGCAATGACATTGTCATGACATGAGTGGAAAAGGTTTGTTAAAGGAATAATTCACCTTAGCGCAGTTACAGTGAATGGGCACTGAAGCTTTCAAGCTCCAAAAAAGACTGAAGCACCATACAAATAACACAGAAGTGGTCCATTGAAGAGGGGCCTTTGACATTCAATTTAATTAAATAGGATTTGATGGGAATAGGAGAGGCACAAAGGATTAGATGGCCATCGAGTCCTGAAATGACATTGTCATGACATGAGTGGAAAACTCGAGAGGTTTGTTAAAGGAATAGTTTACCTTAGCGCAGTTACAGTGAATGGGCACTGAAGCTTTCAAGCTCCAAAAAAGACTGAAGCACCATACAAATAACACAGAAGTGGTCCATGTGACTCATGCGCTATATCGAAAGTGCTCAGAAGTTGTATGGCACTTTGTGTCCAGGAACAGACGGAGTTACGTAGCACACAAACCGTTTGAGCCACTCTTATAGTATCTTTCCAGAGTCCCTAGATGCTGTAATCATTCTTGGGTGAGTAAAAGGTTTTTTCTTCTAAGCAAAGTATTTTTTTAAATGTCCTTTTATTACCCGAAAGTGAAATCAGAGGTGAATCTAAGTTTGGCAAAAGCAATATCCATTCAGAATATTTATAAGCACCATACTGAGGCAAATCCCAAATCCAGTTCAATTGCACAATGCTTTAATTATTGTTTTATACAATATATATATATATACAAAGTATATATATATATATGACCCTGGACCACAAAACCTTAAGTTGCTGGGGTATATTTGTAGCAATAGCCAAAAATACATTGTATGGGTCAAAATTATCGATTTTTTTGCACCCTCAGATTTCAGATTTTCAAATAGTCCTAGCCAAATATTGTCCTATCATAACAAACCATAAATCAATGGAAAGCTTATTTATTCAGCTTTCAACTAAAACTAGCTTTCATTATGTATAAATCTCAATTTCAAAAAATTGACCCTTATGACTGGTTTTGTGGTCCAGGGTCACACACACACACACACACACACACAC